TTCCACCCTGCGCTGCTTCACACTCTGCAGGCCAATGTAATCTGGTGACGAGGGAAGCACAATATCTTCCAGGGTAACTCCATTTAATCTCAGGGTTTCATTCTTTCCAACACTCTTACCAGAGCTGGTTTCTTAGCTGAGTAACAGCACTGTCTACTCTCACATGATCGCTCTCTCCACCCAAGGCTTCAGGTTATGTTGTCCATGGCAATGTTGCCTTAAGCAGTTCTGATTCCCACATGCTTCTGCTTTTGGGCCAGCAAAACACTTCTTACAGCATCATGAAGCTAATGTGAAGTCCTTCAGCTGAGGAGCTGTCAAAAGATGTCTCCAGCAGGGAGAAGATACATGGAACCAAATTTTAAAAGCAGGTCAGAGCAAGAAATGTCAGGAAGCAACAAAGAAGATTCTGAATCTGGTTTTTATGTAGAAGTCCTCCTCCTCACAGCTGAAGCTGGCCAGAAGATTTTGGTTTCCCAACAGATCTGGTTAAAACAAGTAAAAATCTAAGTATGAATTCTGTTTCAGTATACATGTAATACGTGTTCTAATGAGATTCTGGTTTATTACTTGCTTGACCAAACTCTTTGCTAACAACAATAACAAGTAATAATAACCATGGTAATAACCACACTTTTTAGTCTTAGGCATCAATCCATAACTTACAAATATGGGCATTAACATCTCAATTTCAAGTGTTTATTGCATTTCATAAATTCTCTTTCAGAGCTGCATGAATCTCCCAGTTTGTCTTTCTGGCTATAATCTAAAGAAAAATCCCGTGGCAGATTTTTTTAAAGGATGTTTAGGGTATTTTTTCTTGAAGCTTTAATTTAATTATATTCAGAATCATGTTAAAGTTATGCACAAATTAAATACTGTATTGAAGGAGGCTGGACCTAAGTAAGTGTTAAAAAGCCATCTTGAATCAGCATCCATGGCCCATAGAAGGGAAGGGAAATTGCGCCATCCTCTCCTCCAGCTCCGCATGTCTTTGAGGAGTAGTGCCGTCAGGTCAGGCAGAGGGACCAGCATCTTTGTCCTGTGGTATAATGAGATAATTTATCAATAGCCCAAGGAACAGAGGAACCCCCATGCCACAGAGAGGGCCAAGAAGCCCAACAGCTCCTGCCACATCTGATCAACATGAGAAAAGTTCCCTCCCAGTCCCAAGCTGGGCCATGAGTTTACCCATGGGTATCTGATGAGGAAACACCACTGAGCACCTCAAACACAGGGATGCCTGTATCCTCCAACCATCAGTGTCTGCGTGGCCTGCCTCCAGTGCTGCACACTGGGATGTGTCTGGAGGACCTGCTTCACTCAGCTCCCACAGGTGCTCTGAGATCTCCCTGAACTGTAATATTTGAAAAGTGTAGCTGGTAGAAGGATGTGATCTATGGACTTCATGTTTCTAAGCAGGTACGGATAGCAGACTTAAATCTAGCATATCTGCAGAAGCCTTTTGCATTTTTTTTGGAGCCCAAACAGAATCAAAACAGTCTTTTGTTTCCTCAGGAGAATAAAAAACAAGTGAACAAAGAGTATAAGAAGCAAACAGAAATTCTGACTTGTAGATGACTTGCTTGGTTAGTAATTTTCAATAGCTGCAACACAAGTGATAATCCAAGAAGGCACTGGACCATGTGGAATGGTCAGTGGGAAGTGCTGAGGAGCTAATACATCGCATGGATGGCACACACTTGTGAACCACAGAGCACTGAAAAAATTGCTTTCCCCAGTCATAGGGGTTGTAACCTGGACTTTGTAGATAGCCAAAAATGTAAGAGAGTCTAGGGTCACTCAGAAGCTCCAAAGCAGAATGTTGGGACCCAAAGAGGGCTGTCAGACCAATGAAGCACAGGTATGTTTTTCCTGGACCATCAAAACTCTTACCTGTTTAAACTGGTTTTTCTCATTTTTTTTTTTGTTTTGTGGAACCTTGAATTGGGAAGCAGAAGCAGTGTAAATTTATTGCAAATGAAAAGTAATCCAGTCTTCTTTCAGCCTCTCTGGGGTACTTACACTTCCGCTGCCCTCAGACTTAGACTCTCACAAATTTTATTTCCTATCTCCACGGCTTTAGAGGAAGGCAACAAGGTGAGACTGATGGACTCAAACATCTCTTAGAAATCAAATAACTTTTGAAGCAGAGACCCAGAAGTAAAACAAAATGTACTTTTGGTTCAGGGTTTTTCTCTATACTAGTCTTTTTTTTTCTTTTCATTGTGGTCCCTTGTTTCCCCACCCAGACAAAATGCAGCTATGACAACATGGAAATCCCCTGAGTGGCACAGCTCTGATAATAAGATTGTTCAGGTTCAACCAAAATATTATGTCTGAAGAGTCTTTTTCTTTTAGTTTGCTCCAGCTGAAACAGGAAAAAAGAAAAAAAAAAGATCAAAGTGATAGCCCACTCAATTATAAACAAGACAAATTTAAAGTGAGAAGGTGTCATTTCCGGAAAACGATCGGTTTGCACAGGAGAGCCCTCCTTTATGGATCTTTTGGGCTGAAAATGAGGTAGAAATTAGCCTGAGGGTTCCTAGAATAATATGATATTGAATATTATTAAGCCAGGTGCTGAAATCCTTAAATAAACTTTTCTAAAGTGAGCCGGGATAGGCCTTAGGGATATGGAGTCACTGGGACCCAATCTCATTGATTCAAGTTTGGCTTCAGTAAACTTGGGTCAAGCATAGGAAACTCGGGAGGGAGAGATGAGGACTCACTACTCCTAAAGTCCCAGCAGCTGAGTCAGACCTCTGAAAGGGTGTTTGTTGAAGGGATATCATGTAAATGGGGCAGTGACCCAAATAATTCTGTAAGTGAAAACAAGCTCTTAAGCGAGGGTCAGTCAGGCCATGGTGCTACCATCATCAGTGGCTCCTTGGCTCTGGCACCATGTCCAGCTCCTGCTCTGCTTTGTATGGGTGATTACTGCGGCCTGGCAGGACCCTCTCCTTTTTGTGGGTAGGAGGTATCGTAGAGGTCTGCCAAACAGATATCTACCCCCTGCCTCACCTTGAGCTCTTTTTGAATTCAACAGAGAGAAATAAATTTGTTTAGGTGGTTAGACTTCATCTTTTGTATGTCTGTTAGGATGAGATGATTCATGCTCTCCGCTGGCTAGACAGGAACAAAGCATGAAAAGCTCTGACATAGAAGTATACACTGTAAATACCAACACATGGCAAATGAATCCAAACCCATGTTTCTGTATCTACCTAGGCTTAGTGCACCTTCAGGGAACACTTCGGTGGGGACCCGCAGGGTCCTACCACAAGGAGGGACTTGACACGGGTATGGGAGTTGTCCATCTTCTGGGCAGCCTTGCTCAGCTCTCATGGAAAGGGAGACATTTCCTTCTATTAAAAGAGGGCAGGGGAGCCCAGAAATAAGTCCCTGGATATCCACTGCCCTCTGCTCAGGGCAAGTGACACTGGAAGACAGTCCCTGATGTCCTGGCAAGAAAGACACTTTTCTAGACACAAAGGCTGAGCTTTCATCATTTTGGTGAGTGGTTTAAACTACTTCCTTGCAAATGGAAAGGCTGCCATGTCTTCCATATTGAGTCTTCTTATTATAGTGTCATCATTTTTCTGTTTGCTTGGGTATTGTTACCAGCTTTGCCCTCAGTTTCCTTTACGCCTCTGACATAAAGCTTTTTTGGTGCAGACAGGGCTGTGCCAGAGCTTGCTCTTCTCTTTCAGGTCTTCAGCTCACTTGTAGTTAGCCACATCAGTCAGCCGCGTGCACGGCCCTGCATTACGCTCTAGTGTGCGTTGGTGTATACAGCCACAGAAAGTGTGCAAAGGAAATATTTAACACCTCTTTATCTTCCACTTTCTACCTCTGCTTTGTCCAAAGCCTGAAAAAAATGTGAGATATACCTCTTTGTTCTCAGGAGCTAGATTTTGCAGGATTAGCCTTTTAAATCATAGCTTTTCTGGGTCAGCATTGCCTTATGTGGGACTTCGTAGAATCACAGAATGGTTTAGGTTGGAAGGGACCTTTGAAGATCATCTAGTCCAACCCCCCTGCTGTGGGCAGGAACATCTTTCTCTAGGTCAGGTTGCTCAAAGGCCCGTCCAGGCTGACCTTGAATGTTTCCAGGGGTGGGGCATCCACAGTTTCTCTGGGCAACTTGTTCCAGTGTTTCACCACCCTCATTGTAAAGAATTTCTTCCCAATGTCCAATCTAAATCTACTCTCTTTCAGTTTAAAGCTGTTGCCCCTTCTGCTGTCACTACAGTCCCTGATAAAACACCTCTCTTCATCTTTCCTATAGGCCCCCTTTAAGTATTGAAAGGCCACAATAAGATCGCCACGCAGCCTTCCTTTTCCAGGCTGAACAAGCCCAACTCTCTCAGCCTGTCCCCACAGGAGAGGTGCTCCAGCCCTCGGATCACTCTGGTGGCCCTCCTCTGGACCTGCTCCAACAGTTCCATGTCCTTCTTGTGCTGAGGGCTCCAGAGCTGGACACAGCACTGCAGGGGGTGTCTCACCAGAGTGGAGCAGAGGGGCAGAGTCACCTCCCTCGACCTGCTGGCCATGCTGTTTTTGATGCCAACAATTAAAGAATAAATAACAGCAATCATGCTTAGAGTTTCACAGCTGGAAGATTTCTCTCTGTTGCACCTGTGTACCTCCATTGAGAGGAAAGTGGATGAGAGGACTAAATCATGCTCTCAGGGAAATGAGCAGCAAAAATCCCACTAGCCAAGCCAGGGGCACTATCCATGCGACCTGCTCCTGACCCACTGGACTTGTCCAGATTTGGCCCAATGAGTCAGTGGGCCTGATCCAGAAGGTCCTTAGTTTTGAAGTGGGAAGCATGTTTCAAAGTAAAAGCTCTGCAAATATCTTCACGCTGGCTTCCTGTTCTCTGCCACTAGTCATCCTTGTCGGCATGTTTACATTTCCCCTTGCCTGCGGTCTCTTTATCAGGCAATGGGTTTGTTCTGCGTCTAGTATAAAGTAAGCTAGCACGGGTTTCACACACACACACGTACTGCACACATGCAGCGTGCTCAGGATGACACAGACGAGTACAGTATTGAGCATTTTCGTCTTGTTTCTTCACACCACTTTTGGGGAAAGTGGTTGCACCTCAGCAGATGGTGATGGTGAGTCATTTCATATTTCCACTCATGTATGATCTTGAAAAACCTGAGTTAAGAGCTCCAAAATGCAACTGCTGAGTTAAATGTGTTAGAGTGTTTTAGCCTCCAGTCTCTTTCTTTTAGGGCCAGTAGCTAAGGTGGATGTGGATACCTATCTAATTTAATTCCCAAGTCTGCTGTCCTTGTGACGCCCAAATTCGTATGAAATAAGGGAGACCATAGCAGTATGCAGAGGACACACGAGATCAGACCTGTTAATCCTCTCTCATTGTATCTCGTGTTCATCTGAGGAGTTATACCTGGGAGCTGGGAACTGCTTCCCTCTCCTGCAGTCAGTCCATGGTCACTCTGAGCTGCCATCAGAGGGGGGTGAGGTTCTGGCTTCTCTTGCTCTTGGCAGTTTCCTCCAAAGAAAATGCTTCAATGTACCTCAGGGATGGCCCAAGCTGTTCCACTTCAAAAGCCAATCTTTTTCTCTTTTTCTTTAAGCAATTGCAGCAGGTATATCTGGGGGATAGCCCCCTTCTCCCTTGTACTATGGCTGAAGCAGCAGCTCAACCAGGGGGTTCTAAGAGCACCGCAAAGAGCATTCATCCCTTACTCAGCAAATAATTATAAACTATTTCAACAGTTTAAATTTAGGCTTATTAGAGTTGATTATCTCATTTAGAGAAGTGAAAATTATATAGTAGCATCAAAATAAAAAATTAAAACATAAAGAGCAACAATGAAGCCACAGTTTCAGCCTGCTGTCTCTTTTCTCAAAAGGGAGCTGGAAAATTTGATTTACGGATTCAGTCCCAGATCTGTTAAACTCTTACTTGACAGAGGCTAAACAAACAGCAGCTACAGAGCTTGTTGCACTGTGCCTGAAGGACATGGGCAGCCACTCGGTGGCTGGTAGTTTTAGGGCTCCAATGTTTGGGAGCAAAAGAGTTTTTGGGTTTTAGGAAGATAATGGCTGTTTTCCTATGTTATCTCACAGATAGGGAATCTCCTTTTCCCCTGTGTATCATGTATCATAACATGTATATATGTGCTCTCACATATACATGCATATATACATAGATAGGATATGCATGGTAAGTTTTTTAGTTAGAAGAAAACATGAGTGTCTCAGAACTGCATCTAACAACCTTGTTTTTTTCTATTTGCCTTTTATTTATACAACTTGCAGCTGTTTGGAGCCAGCTTTGGCAAGCAGCTATGGTGGTGAATGGTCAATGCTAGTGATTTATTACTGGTGTCACTGAAATCTTCAGGGCTTCCGAAAAGCAGATACAACCAGACCTTTCCTTGTTTTGTCACTAACTTGCAGTAAACCATAATTTGCTTAGAACTAAAGACAAACAGATTCAGAAAATCCCCGCTGAGCAAATAGCAGCTTTTATGATTTCCTTATGAGTCTTGTGGGTTTGGCCAACAAATTAAACAATCCAGACTAAAATCACCCATGATGGATGTTTGGCTCTCACTCTTTGTCTTCCAACTTGCCCTGCGTCCTGGCAAAGTGCTGCCAGCCAAGGCGGGCGTGAGCTCACCCGTTCTTATGGGAAGAAGAGGGAAAAGCTCATTGCCATGCTTGCTTTCATCTCCCTCTCTTTTCTGAGCAGAGGACAACCTCCCAAGCGCTGTTGCCCAGCCTGGCAGAGGTGGTGGAGATCCCCAAAAGCCCTAAGAGAGCTACAAGCAGAGCTAAGCAGGGGCAGCTGCAGGGGCGCCGGAGGGCGCGGGCAGAGGGAGCAGGAGGCAGCAGGCTGTGGGGTCTCACGGGCAGGATGCTTGGCTTCAGTGGTCCTCCTGCCCAGACTTGCATGGTTTGTCCAGCCCACATCAAAACTGCTGTGATTAAAACAAGTTCTGCCTGAATCAGATCAGCACTATAGACTTCACATTACTCTGTCCCTGCAGACAATTGGTTCATTGACTTTGGAAATTTGGTCACTGATCCTGCAGGTACTTAGCAGTGCCTTTGGTTTCATGTGTTATTGTTGGTCCCCATGGCTTCAGAACTTAAAGCTGAATCATGTCCATAGCCTCTGCTAACACGCTTCTCTTGGTAAAGGCTCATCA